GCCTTAGACTTCTCATATCTTTTTAAAACTCCTCCTTTGCATTTTGTATTGCTTTCTTTATTCCATTGGTCTCTTTTTCTATTATTTTCCTTCATTTAATATTGAAGAGACAGCCTGCAGAATGGGAGAAAATCCTTGCCAGCTATACATCTGACAAGGGATTAGTAACCAGAATGTACCTTAAAAAAACTAAACTCTCCCAACATCAATGACCCAATGAAGAAATGAACAAATGAACAGAGATTTTTGAGAGGAAGAAATCCAAAAGGCCAAAAAAACCCATACCAAAATGAAAGAAAAAAACCAAAACCACATGAAGAAATCTTCACATCCCTGGCCATAAAGGAAATGCAAATAAAAACCACATTAAGAGTCTACCTCACTCCTGTGAGAATGGTTACTATCAAGAACACAAACAACAACAAAGGTTGGTGAGGATGTGGGGAAAAAGGAACACTCACACACTGCTGGTGGGAACATAAATTAGTCTAACCACTATGGAAAACAGTATGGAGGCTCTTCAAAAACCTAAAAATAGAACTGCCATATGATCCAGCAATACCACTCCTAGGGGTATACCTGGAGGAATGTAAGTCAGGTTACAATAAATGCACCTGCACACCTATGTTTATTGCAGCATTATTCACAATAGCTAAGCTATGGAAATAACCAAGATTCCCACAACTGATGATTGAATTAAGAAAATGTGATATTTATATGCAATGGAATTTTATTTTTTTATTTTTTTATTTTTTGTTTTATTCAACCATACCTTTTCCAGTGCCTGGTAGAGATGACCAACAAATGTAGAATGGATGAGAAGTATGACTAAGTGAAGAGAAACTGAGACAGATTAGAGGGACACACCTCTCCCTGGGGCACTGGGACAGGAGTTAAGCATTGTTAGAGCACTGTTAATTCTGTTTAACCACTATCAGTGTTAATGAGAAGACTTTACTGTGAGCACCTTTTAGTGTGTGCGTCTCCTTTAAATATGCAAAGATGTTGGAGCAGCGGCAATTTGACTCCCTAATCAACAGCCTTTGCTGGTGTCCCAGCTCCTTGAGTGAAGGACCATCAGCCAAGCAGCCGGCTGGACTGTCCTCATGCCAGCACCAGCTGCTTTGAACACTCCAGGAAAACATGCCTTGAGGAAACCACACAGCAACCACAGCTGCTTGCTGCAGATGCACAACTCTAGCTCCTAAGTACCCACTGAGTCCCAGTCACAACGGTTTCAAACAGCTTACACTGGACTCTGCCATCATAAGCTTCTGTGAACTCTGCACAACCCTGCAGCCATTTACACCCAGGCCAGAGTGGGAGCACCTCCCCTGATGGCCCAGCAGAAGGAAAGTGACTGGTGCAAATACAGTCCTGCATTTGCATGAGGGACTTCTGTGATTAGTGCACATGTGATCCCTCCTTTTCATGAAGGACTTGCCATGATTGGTACAAACATAGCCCTTCTGCATGAAGAACTGCTGTGATTGGTGCAGACACCCTTGCCACACCCCCTTCCTAGCTATATAAGCAGGCTGATGGGCTGACTTTGTCAAGGGTAGGAGAGACTGTCCTGTGCTGCCCTTGCTGGTGGTGTAATGATAGGCCCAATAAAAGGCTTCTCTTTAGTGGCCTTTTGATCTTCATCAAAGAGGCTGGAGGAAGCAGCAGCTGACTGATACTGGTGATGAAAGTGGCAGAGGCAATAGTGGTGGTGGAGGTGACAGCAGGCTCTGCTCCAGCAGTAGTTATGAAAAGCAACTAAAGGGTTCCAGAGAGCCACCAGGGCAAAAGTGACAGAGAGCAGAGGTGATGAGGAACAAGGGACAGTGAGAAGTAGAGAGAAGGTGAGAGGGGGTGGAGAGCTGAAGACAGAAGATGTAAAGAGCCAGAGAAGAGAAACTGTAGGCCCTGTCAGTGGAAAAGCTCCAGGGAGCTTCTGAGCGTTAAGAGTCAAGGGTCTCAGACACCCTAGGCTGAGAGCTGTAACACTTGTCCCTGCAGAGCTAAGGATCCCAGGACCCAAGGACTGTACAAGTGCTGTAACACTAGAAGGTGCCAGCTATTGCTGCTTGCTGCCGCCTGCTGCTGTTGCTCAATATTGCCCAAAGCTGAGGACTACAGAAGCTGCCAGGCTGCTGGTGGTTAAAGCCCAGAGCAACAGGTCTCTAATCTGAATGCCAAGAGCCAGGGTTAAGTCTCTGACTTTCTAAAGCCTGGAGCAATAGGACCCTAGCTCTCAGGGTTTGGAGATGAAGAGCCAGGGTAGCTTCTCCTCACCTACCCTTGATTCCTATCTGGGTCAACCAGCTAGCTGCTCACAAAACCTCTGCACAATGGCAAGACAGATATTTAGGAGTTCCAGCCCTAGGCTCATTATTAATAGTTGTATGACCTTAGCAATGGTTTTTTGTTTTTTTTTTTAAACCTGACTTACCACTGGTACAAGTTGATTGAGGTTTTATGAACTTGGCTTTGTAAAGTGGCTGCTGAAAGGTATAATGAGGACAAAGAGAAAGAGGAGGAGGGTATGGGAAAGAAGGGCTGAAAAGAGGGATGAAGGAAAAGAGGAGATGATTCTATCCCATTAATATGGGTAGGGGATCACTTAGATCATAGCATCAAGCCATGTAAGACAGAATTCAAGGAAAGAGGTGACAACTGCAGATGTTACTGAGTTCCCAGATTTCATCTTCACTTCATTCATTCACTTGTTCCTTGAGAACCTTGGAATTTTATTCAGCCATAAAGAAGAATGAAATTGTGTTGTTTGCAGTAAATGGATGGAACTAGAGAACATCATCTTAAGTGAAGTTAGCCAGATTCAGAAAACCAAAGTCTTTGTTTTCTCTCATGTGTGGAGTATAGACCCAATAAAAATATGAGCAATATTATGAAAAACAGATTATAATAAGGGGAGGCCATGTATGAAAGGAGAGTAATAGAAGGGAGTTAAGAAGGTGAATATGGTTGATATACTTTCTATACAAGAATGAATATAGAACTTTTAAACCTATTGATATCATCATAAGACTAAGGTAGAAAGGAGAAAAATAAAAGGGATGAACCAGTTTGGGTTATTATACATATATGCATGAAAATGTCACAATGAAACATATTGTATAACTATCTTAAACAAACAAAAATGTCATTTAAAAAAACCCCAGAGAACAAGAAGGCAAACAGGTCCTGTCTGGGGATAGGTACAAGTGGAAGGGATAAAGATATAAGGAAAGGACTTAGGAGGGTGGTGGAAATATTCTGTACACATGTGTGCACATGGAAAAATGAAACCTGTTGAAACTATTGCAGGAATGGGAAAAAGGGGATAAAGAAGAATGCTCAAAGGGGTGAATTCAACTGTGACACATTGCTAGAAATTTTGTAAATATCACAATGTACTTCCAGTACAACAATAATAAAAATAAATTATAAAAAGAAAGTGCTTAATAGATTAAGAGGACATTTTTGTCTAGCTTAACAATTTATAAAATTTTCATTTATAATGCCTGATTTTGTCAACTAAGCATTTTTATATCCATCAATCATATTGTTGAAAGATAATAATTTATTTAGTAGCAATTCTGCTTAATTTAACACACTGTTTTAACTTTCATACTCTATTACCAGGTTAACTATTGTTTCAGTATTTTAATAGATAGGAATTAGATACTCCATTTGTTGTAGTACTCTTTATGAATTGTTGCAAGTTTTAGTTAAGTATTGTTTTAAAATAAACATTTTCCTAATACAAGTACACATATATATTTTAGATGAGTGGAGTCATTTTTTAGTTTTTCCTTGTTTTGTATTTCTCAATTTGTTTTTCGGGGATTTTATCTAAAATATACTGTAATTTATTACTTGTGAAGACAAATTTTGTTAAAATTAAATTTAGTCTACGATGAAAAAGATAATAATAATCTATTTTGAAAAAACTCCAATTTCCTTGGTTTTGTTCTAATGCTTGCTGAAATCCTCTTTGAGTTCATTTCGTTGTTTCTATGTCTTCTCAATTTTTTTTTATCCTTATTCTCTTAGGATTCATTGAGTTGCTTTTATAGGTTCTCTTTAAGCTCCTTAAACATTCTTGTTATAATTCTTCTAACCTCAGAAACTGAGGATTCATTCATCCCCTTCACTGTCCACCAGATCCTCTATTGTATTATTGCTAACCTTTTAAGAAGTCATGTTTGTGCTTTCATTTTAAAGTCCTCACATGCCACAACCTGCCTTTTACTGAAAGAATTTTGTAGGTTTTCCTTTTACTATTGAATAAGCTAAGAACTAATATTAACTAAGTATGATCATTATTTTAGGCTTCTTTTCCTATAAAAATCAAAGATAGCAGGAATTGCATTTGTTAGGTTCACCAGTATAGCCTGAGGTCAACTTTCAATATGGTTAAGAGAAAGTCATTTTTTTTTTTGCAACATGGGTATTCAACCAAGAGCTTCAATATCATTAAGTTAGCACTTGTCTACTGAGCTACTTTCCCAACAGGTGAAAAATTCAGTTATTATTTATAATTTGAATATATTATTTATGGATAAATGATTCCATCTTCTGCTTCCTTCTAAGGTTATGTAATAAGTTGTGGAGTTTCTTTTTAAAGAATAAACACATACAAGAAGTTTTGTAAAGTAACACTTTAATGAACAAAGCAAAATAAGAAAAGGATGACTTGAAAAGCACACATTTTGCTATATTAACCACAATGTAAAAATGTAAATAATATACCATCAAAAATAATTGAAATCTTATAAATAGTTAAATAAATAAACTTTTAAACTAATAAATAGATAAATCTGCATGGATGAAAGAGAAAAGTGTTCCCAGAGTTGAACACAATGTTGTTAATACTCCTGAAACATCTGTCAAATGGATGTAAGTCATGTCACAAATGTAGAAGAAATGACTCTTTCCAATGGCAAAATTGATAAACATGAAATACAGTGTTTTAGTCACTGACAGTAATTTCCATGATGGGGCAGGTCTCATTCTTCACTTTGTAATCTTTCATACAAGTTAGCTGATGAAGAGAAGGATCTCATGATTTCTGCTCTGACAACCTCCCAGGCACAAGGGCTGTATTTTTTCTCTTGCAGGTAGAGAGTGATCCTGTGGAAGTAGTTCCTCACAGTCAGTGTGGAGTCCTCATGCATCAGGGGAGACTCTTTTTCCTCCACCTCCTGTGTCAGACAGGCTTCCATATTTTTCAGCTGCTGAGAGAGGCCAGAGCAGAATTTGTGCAGAAGGGTCTTCTCCCAAGCAGCAGAGGAGTCCTTTGTGCTGAAGAGATTGTAGATCTGCTGTGTCATCTCATGAAGGACTGAGATGGCTTGAGCCTTCTGGACCTGGTGGCCATCAAAGTCCTCCTGGGGGAATCCAAAGTCATTTCTGTCCTTCATGCAGGAGAAAGGAGAGATTCTCCTCATTTGTCCCAGGAGTATCAAGGACCTCCTGCTACCCAGGCTATGAGTCTGAGACAGGTTACAGCCCACAGAGAAGGTTGACCTGCAGCTGAGCACCAGCAGGGCCACCAGTAAAGCAAAGGACAAGGCCATTAGGGATGTTGCAGATGCTGCTGGCCTAGCTGAGGTGGGTGGTCCTGGACCTTTGCCTCTAGGTTCTCTGAAGATCTTCACATGCTCATTTGACTTAAGTAGAGAACACTTGAGGTTCCATTTTCTGAATGCCCTCCCCTTACTTTCTACTTCTCTTTTTGCTTTCGTTTGTGCTTTCCTTACTTGGGTTTAGAGTGGCATTTCTAACAATTTGGTTTTCATCATTCATTTTCATCCTGTGGCCCTCCCTTCTCATGCCACAAGAGGATTTTAGATTTTTTTCCTAATAGAAATCCTGACTAAAAGTGAAGAACAGAAATATAGGGTTATGTATCTACGTATGCTTCATACATAAAAAGGGGAGTGTAAATTTTAATTTTTTAAATGATAAAAAACTTAAGTTGGAAAGTTAAAATTTAAAACCATTATATATACATGGAAATGTCACAATGAAACTCCCTCTATAGCTGTCTTAATCTAACAAAAATGTCTTTTTTTTCAAAAAACTGAGAGCAGGAAGGTAAAATAGGTCCTGTCTGGTGGATGGTACCAGTAGGAGAGGGGAAGATATAAGGAAAGGGTATAAGAAGGGGAATATGGTGGAAATATTACATATTCATGTATGAAAATAGAAAATTGAGACCTGCTGAATTTATTCCAGGAGTGGAGGGAGGGGGTATAGAGGAGAATGATGGAGGGAGTGAATTCAACTATGATATATTGTAAGAAGTTTTGTAAATGTCTCAATGTACTTCCAATACAATGTAATATGACAATAAAAAATTTTTTTGAAGAAAAATGTGTTGTTGAGCCAAAAAACAAGTAAAAGCCATTGATATTTAATTTGACTTCATTATTATGTTTTTGCATTAAGCAGAATTGATTCTGATTTTTATGAATTATATTTTCTTTATAATTTAGTAAATTTGGTACATTTATGTAAATTGCAATAAATCACATTATACATGAAATTTTTATAAAATATTTGTATTTTATATTATAATATATATAATATATATTATATTATATATTGTATAATAATATAAAATATATTATATAATAATATAAAATATATTATATTTATTAATATATTATATTAATATATAAATATATAATATATTTATATTATATTTATATATAAATATATAATATATTTTATTTATAGTTTTATAAATATAATGCATTTTAAGAAATCCAGAGATCTTGCAAAACTCATAAACATATTTAAAATATAAAGTATCTTAATTTTTATACTTAGTGTAAGTAATGTTTAATTTTGTTTTATAAGAGAAAATATTTTTTAACTTCACTGTCTGCTAAATAATATCAGTCAATTGACATAATTATTAATGTGCTGAATAATTTTACTAGACCTAAATAATGAAGTATAATCAATTGGTGTTTAACTCCCATAGACCACAGCACATTCAGATGCACTGAAGTTCAAAGGTAAGCAACACATACAAGGTAGCCATTGGCAGCCTGATACTATGTGAACGGTGATCAAACATGTAATGAAGAGAAAGCTCTCATCTATCAGTCCTATCAGTCACGGTCATCTATTGTCTATAGGTTTGTAGTAGAGATGTTTCATATATTTTTCTGCATCTTCCATGAATTCAATCTCAGTGCTTCTCCAGGGATAAAAGGAAACTCAAGAAAAAGGAAACAAACAATAAAGAAAAAGATTTCAGAGTTCAGATTTAGAGGCCCATAAAACTTGGCAATATCTAAGATTTGTTCATAGTCTCCAAATTAATTTTCTTCCATTTGGGAGTTATATCATCCCCAATCAGAATACAAGATTGAGAACACATTAGTTTGATTTTAAAGAAAAATTTTGCATTATAATTCACAAAATTCTCAAAAAGAATCCAACCCTAGCTAATTATTACCAAAGGAAAGAAAACTGTTTGTGTCTTAATGTCAATAATTGGAAATAAATATAATAAACTAAATGAAGTATACAATTTTCCTGTATAGCATGCATTGTAGCATATAGATTTCTTTCTCAATTTTTCTTTCATAGAAAGGAAAAGTCACTTTTTGCATTTCAATGATTGGGGACAAAGAAAACAAAATAATGACTGAATGTGATAAAAATGAAAGAAAGGAAGCAATATCCTAGTGAGAAAAACTAGTGACAAGACATGATTTAGCTAAAGTCAGCCCACTAAGATGGAAAGTAAAGGACGGGGTAGAGCTGAGTCAGGATGGCAGAGAGATGTGTTTAAGAATAATGGACAGATGTGGGCTCAAAGAAACCTGGGGTTGTTTCCAGATTTGCTCAATCCAGCCTTCAACAGTCAAGGAAGACACACAAGGGTTTATAATAAGAGAGGCAGTGTGTGTGTGTGTGTGTGTGTGTGTGTGTGTGTGTGTATAATGAGGTCTCATGGAGTCCAGGCTGGTGCATGTGCCTCTCTATGTAACTAAATCTGACCTGGTACTCATGATCCTCCTGCCTCAAGCCATCCTAATGCTGAGATTGCAGGTGTGTGCTACCTCACCTGGCTCCAGGAAGTCAAATTTTAGAAAACACTATATTCTATCTGGATAATGGACAAGAGTTAATTGCAACAATGTCTCCTCTAGCAAGGAAATGAATTCAGAAATCTGAATTCTGTGTCTGACAAGAAGTAAAGGAAATGCTAATTTTAAGGACATTTATTCCAACTTAATATAGTTAAGTAATAAAGACAATGCTAATAAAAAGAATGAAAGGATAAAATTGTGTCAGTTAGACATTGTTTTCCCATTAAGTATAAACCAGCTCCATCCTTGCTTACCTTCCCAGAGCAGGTGTGTTTATAGCAGTATGACTGTAAACAAGGCACTATTCTTACCAATAAAAAAATCTATCCTCATTTTACCCCATAAAGAACACACTTGTAATTCATAGGTATAAAACACCTACTATGTGCCCTGCTCCAAGTCACTGGGAACACCCAAGTGTAAAGCAGACAGCATGGGATTCTATTATTATGTCTATGTGTGAAATAGACAGAGAGTGAGAGAAAGAGAGAGAGAGAGAGAGAGAGAGAGAGAGAGAGAGAGAGAGAGAGAGAGAGGTTGGTAATGAACTGCAGAGCTATTGTTGGCACCCAGAAAATGTCACTCCAAGTACTCTTGCATGCTCTCTGGGGATTTTTCTGGCCATAAAAACCAGAGCTGGTTCTACACTGATTAGTGCTTTCAGTAGAGCCCTACCTAAATAATGGCAGTATCTTCCTCTTCAGCACCCCATCATGTATATCACATATATTATATAACCCCTTAACTGACCCCACTTTATATGCATGGAATATTATCATTTTTGTATTTCAGAATGTGCTTTCATAAGGTTGAGTGAGCTTTTATAATGTGTTGTGGAACTCAGTGATATATTCACATAAAACTCATTGAATTCTTATATAATTCTAACCATTTATTCATATATTCATAAGGCTTTAGATTCCTGTTTCCACAGGCTTAAGACTCAGGGTCATGATCAACCTAGAGGAATGGGCTAAATAAGAACTAAACCAGGGAGCTAAGGCTCAGAGTTCACACCTGGAAGGGCTCCTGAAGGGATAGCAGATGTGGAAGTGGAATCAGTTCTGGAGACATGAGGTGAGTTCAGCACATCAGAAGAGGAACAGTGAGATGAAAAAAGATGCAGGACCACCTGCCTTGCCAACTTCTTGATGCTTTTTTTTTTTTTTGTAGAATTGGATGATGGGTTGATTATATAGATTTGCTGTGAGGAATTGGGCCAAATTTTGGTAATGCCAGGATAGAACTAAAGAAGAGGGGTTGAGGAAAAAGGATATATTTTAGTTGAAGAAAGTAATTTGGCATAATATTCCAATAGCTAAGGGAATAAAGTACAAAACTGGGAAATGGAACTGCATCACATTAAATAGCTTCTGTATATCAAGGAAAACAATTACCACAATGAAGAGACAGTCTTTAGAATGGAAGAAAATCTTTTCTAGTTATTATTCTGATGAGGGATTAATAACCACAATATATAAAGATGTTAAAAATTCAAAAGAACCAATAAGTAGACAAATGATTTGAACAGATAGCTCACAAAAGAAGTATAAATGACCAATAAATACACAAAAATGTTCCCTATCCTTGGCCATAAATGAAATGCAAATCCAAACTACATTAAGATTCCATCTCAGTCAGAGTGGCTATCATCAAGAAAACCCACAATGATAAATGCTTATGAGGATGCATGTAAAAAGGAACACTCCCATACTGTTGGCAGAATGTAAATTAGTCCAGATACCATGGATATCAGTATATGGAGGTTCTTCAAAAACTAAAATTAGAATTATCATATGATCCTGCTCTACAATTCATGTATATATCCAAAGGAATCAAAGTCAGCATACTATAGAGATCACTGCACACCCATGTTTATTGCAGCACTATCCACAACAGACAAACTTTGGAATCAGCCTATGTGCCCATTAATGAGTGAATGGATAAGGAAATTTAGATTATCAATCAGCCACAAGGAAGAACGAAATTTACAGAGAAATGGATGGAACTGGTAATCATCATGCTAACTAAAATATGCATGTCTCAGAATTATTACAAGTGTTCTCTAACATGGATAATATAGGCCTAAAAGAAACAAACAAACAAAACAGACATGAATTTAAAAGAGGGACTACTGTAGCAAATCAGTGGAAGACAATATATGGACAAGAGTATCATGTGGTGTTGAATATGACTGAAGTATGTTGAATATATATACAAAAATGTCATAATGAAACAGATTATTTTGAAAAATAAAAATTAATCAATTTGGCAAAGTAGCTTAGAAATGGAGGAAGAGTTGCCTGTGACTTTCCATTTGTAGGTGATATTGACTGATATGATAACTGCCAACTCTTATCTTTCAGTTCTTTGGGGTCTCCTCACACACACACAAATGGGGAATTATCATTAGATTAATTTATATTTATCCATTTCTATGGGATAGTTGGATATATTTGTGACAT